TGATAATAAGGTTGATGACTACCTTATATGCCAACCTAGAACCTTCATCCAGTGACTGATGGAAGCAGAGACAGATACCCACAGCTAAACACTGAACTGAACTCCTGGAGCCCTGTGACAGAGTTGGAGGAGCGATGAGTAAAGGGGTCAAAACCGTGCTGGTAAAACCCACAAAGACAGCTGATGGGACAGGGTGGTGCTCTTGAACCCCAGACTGATGGCTGAGTGGCCAACAGGGGACTGATCTGGACTCCGTGAATGTAGTGTCAGTGAGGATACCTCAGAAATCACTGGGGCCTTGGGTAGCAGATCCGTGTTCACCATGACGTATGAATGAACTTTGGGAGTCCAGTTCAAATAGAGAGAGCTCTCTCAGCCTGGGCACATGGGGAAGGGCCTAGGTCCTGTCCTGGATGAAATGACATACTCTGGAGATCCCCCCCAATGGAGGGCCTCACCCTTCCTAGGGAATGATGTGGGGACTGTGGTTGTTGGGAGGACTGGTTGAGGGATAAGGGAGGAGGGTTGGGAAAGGGAGTTGGGATTGACATGTCAAGCATTTATGTTTCTAATTTAAATAAAAACATACAATGAGGGGAAAAACACATGGGCTTCTAAGTGTGTCTGTAGTAAAAATTAAAGTACAAATTGGTATATGCTCAGAAGTCATAGCTAGGTTTATTTCTGCTTCCTAATTGCAGAGTAGTTTGCACAGTGATTGGCAATTTTGCACCCTCGCTATATCAGGGTTCCTTTTCCTTAATAGCCAAACCTACATTTGTCAAGATGTGTTCTTTCTTTGCTTTTTTCATTGAAAATCGTGTTTCATATATTATATTATGATTATGATTGCTCTCCCCCAAAATCTTATCAGATCTCCCCCGTGCCCACTCACCCAAATCCACATCCTTGCTGGCTCTTTTTCATTAGAAAACAAACAGGCATCTAAACAAAAGAATAATGAGATAAAATAAAGATAAATGTGAATAGGACAAAAACAAACAATGAATATGACAGCAAAATAATGAAGAAAAGAAAACATGAAAAACAAAGAATCCAAATAGAGTATTCTCAGAAAAGAAGCACAAATGGTTGAGAAACACTTGAAAAATCTTTGAACATTCTAAGTCTTCAGGGAAATGCAAATCAAAAAACTACTTTGAAATATTTTTATAGAACCCAGGACCACCAACCCATATATGGCACAACCCGCAATGGGCTGGGCTCTCCTCCATCAGCTAATGGTTAATAAAATACCCTATAGGCAGAGCTTATGGAGGTATTACTTTTTAATTTATGTTCCCTCTTTTAAGGTAATTCTAGCTTGTATCAAGTTGATATAAAACTAATAATTACAATATTTGCTTTCAGTGTGTTCAATTGCATATGGGAAGACTACTGTTGTGTTAACTTTACATATAGAAACTTTATTGATACTGTTATCAGCTCCAAAGGTTTCTTGGTTTCTTTGTGGGCTGCTAAGCTGTCTTTTCTGTGAAGTATCTTCTGTGAACAAGTATAGTTTTGGATGAGGAGAAAGAACAAGAGAAAAAGAAAAGGAAGATGCGAGGGTTTATAAATGAAAACTTTACAAACAGTTCATAAAGCTACTGATGTGGTTTTCCAGATGCAGAAAAATACAGTAGAATTCAAAAGGGTTCAGCCCAAATGGTGAAGCTTTTAAAAGAGGATTTGTTGGTTTGGTTTGAGTGCAAGGGTCATTACATAAGTGCCTACCATGCTCAAGGTTCAAGTTGCTCTCTTTCCCTTTTGTGTTTTAACTGTGTTTGTATTTTTCAGTGTTAGACTTTAATGATGTGGCCACATGTGTTCTAGAAACATGCATATGCTTAGTCAGTATAAATATACTTTATTTGGAGTTTATCTATACTTATATTTGGCCTAAACATCTTCACAATCAGCAATCAAATTCTGTCATTCAATAATTCAAACTCACACAATCCCTGGATGCTTAGAGATACACCTTAGCAATTATTATAGTCTAAAGATAACCACTGGATACAATTCTTTTAACTATTTCTTCCTATTTGAGATTTGGGGTACATTTTATCCACCTGGCCCAGGATTTGCTGGAAGTTTCTTATGTGCCTGGAACTAAAATTCCACTTACTAGCAGGACAGAAACCTGTTACTACACCTGGCCTGCTAAACTTCCAATAGACTTAACTGGATATGCTATGATATTGAAAACCCCAGATGCCTATATGAAGGTCCTAAGTAACAGGAGCATTGAGGTTTAGAAACAATAACAAAGCAAGTTCACAAGGCCAAGTGACAGTATACCAATTATTGTTTCTTCTGAAACAAAAACTATATTACCCAATGTATGTCCAAATTAATCTTATTGAAAACATGAAACAGGGGTATACTCTACTTCAGAAACTTATGATTAGATATAATGAAAAACTGGCTTGCATATTTCCAGCATGTCACTCTGGGTCCAGCAACCTCAGCAATAACAATATACTAGTCATATATTACATTGAATCTAAATATATTTTTACTTTATTTTATTTTCAATGTCTGAAGAATATGGACTTAATCCATCAGCACTGGTACTTACAGGTGACATTTTGCTATTATTAGATTATAGGGATTTACCTTTTCCATTTTCCTTTTCTTTTCCTAAATTAATCACCATTAATATCCCAAGATGGTTATAATTTATTCACCATTTTGGTTTCACAATAAGTGGATCCTGGGTATGGAGATGTTATCTAATTCTTCTCATTTATTGTATCAAGGATTCAAGTTCAGGGTCTCCACCTCTTTTACCTCCACAATTTTCTATGAAAAATATGAAAATGCTGACTTGCATTACTAAATAGTGTGTTTGTTTAGTCACTAGGAGAGTTAGATATTTAAGTGGTAATTTACAGAAAAGTTAAAAGCAGAACATAGGCAACATGTAAAAATTAATTTTAGATGGCTCAGGAAAGTATTTCTCTATTTGAACTATGGTATAAAAGCAGTGAAGATTTAGCAACCATGCACAGCTCAACAAACAAAATAACCCAAATAAAAATAATTTGGGAGATATAGCCAAGGAAATTATAACTGAAGTGTTACTATCCTCCTTGAACAACTTATACGAAATAGTAAGAAAGCTGTTGTGTAGCTTCTGCATAATTAAACAGTGACAATGTGGAATTAGAGAAACAAACAAACAGTTTTTTTGAAGATGGTGATTAGAACAGAGTTAAATTTTGGCTCAAGTACTGAGAATAAACACTCCCAAAAGAGCAGGGCAGGCACTGATTGAATCTCTAAGGCACTAAGGATACATATTGGTCTATCATATGTAAGTTAACACTGCAGTCCTTCTTAATATCTGTATTCAGGCCCTTGGAAGAGCATAAGAGAGTTCCTGATGTATTCTCTGAGTGAATTATGAATTGAAATCCATAAGAAACTGGAGGATCAAGTGACAGATATAATAAAAAATTGGTTTGTTTTCCTCTTGTTTTTATTTTATTGGATTAAGAAGTAGTATTATAAACTGTGGCCTTAATTTAGAAAGGTACCTGGGAGATGACTGAAAATAACTTTGTTCAGCTTTCTATAGAATGAAAGAGATCAAAGATTCAGTACCTGGTACTGACTTTGTAAGACAAAAAAGAGAAAGTAGTAATGACAATGAGTTCGCATTTTTTTCTTCTATATAAAATAAGTTTTAAAATCTGTTCTTATACCTTAACTTTTTCTTCTTCTTTTTTATTATTTATTTTAAAATTAAATGTAGATTAGAAATAAGGTTGCTTCACAAGTCAGTTCCAGGTCCCTCTCCATTTCTCTCCTCTCCTCCCGTGCCTTCCCCCAACCCCCAATAACTTTTATTTAATATATTTGTTGAATGACTACTAATTTTCAAAAAGTATATATGTCACATAATGCTTTGTGATTTGATTAAAATCTGCACTGTTGAAGTAACTCAATGATGTAGTTAACTCATCTACACCATTTTTACAATTGTGTGTTTTGTAAAGATGGATGTGTATATATAACATGATAACATAATGTAATTTTAAAACCAACATTGTTAAAAGATTAAAATACGGTAGCTTGTCTGTCATTGTTAAATATTTGAAATCAAGAACCTTTTTTTTTTCATTATTGAACATTCATCAACTTGGCCAGACTTCAACTGTGTTACTCTCCCATGGTTTCCAACATTCTTCTTTCTCCTCATGTGAATATGACCATTACAAATTTCACATACAGGAAAGTTTGTGCAGGATTTCCCCCTGTGGAGTGCTGCCTTTTCTGTTTGTACAGATACTTTTCAGTTTGAGAGTGGTTGAAGGATCCATGTCCCTTTCTGTTTAGGACAGGCTTATTTTTCAAGTGAAATCCAAAGAAAAATGTCAGAGACGGTTGAATTGACACTATCAAGAGAGCCAGTAGACATTAAGTTACATCTTATTTAACAACCTATTTATCCACTACAGCTCTGAAATTCCTCCAGATCGTGAATGTTCCTGAGTATCTTAACTATTCTTAGATTCTTGTTATTTTTATTTGTGTGGAAACAAATGTACATGATTTGCACTCCACAGAGCACAGACTGAGGTCAATCTAAGTTGCTCTACCTTCCCTTTGTAACGCAAAGGAATGAGGAAGTAACGAACGAGAAGAGAGATGAGCAAGTCTGTCCTGTTCCATTCCGCTGTACATATTCTCTTGATTCTCTAGCAATCATTTTAAAATGAGAATACTTGGCCCAGGTCTGTAGAATACTTGTGCTATTGTGTGTGTGTATTTGCATATATATCTGTCTGCGTGTATAGAGGGGGAGCTGTCATTGTATAACTCTGTAAAACAGGCTGACTTTACATTCAAAGACATTTATCTGCCTTTGTTTTCCAAGTGCTATATTTAAAAGGCAGGCATTATATTTATTTTCTAAGAAAGATTGCCACTCTGTAACACCATCAGAGATGGTTGCCAATTGCACTTTTTCCTATAACTGCCTTTTTTGTCTCTCCAGATTTTCTTGGAGAACAATGGATGTGACAAATGCTTCTTTGGTGATTGAATTCATTCTCTTGGGTATAACAGAAGAGCCTAGCCTCCAAGTACCCCTCTTTTTACTCTTTCTAGTAATATATCTGGTGACTACACTAGGAAATTTGACTTTGATCACTCTAATTGTGCTCAATTCTAATCTTCACACACCCATGTACTTTTTCCTCCTTAACTTGTCCCTCATAGATCTCTGTTATTCTTCAGTGATTACACCCAAAATGCTGATGAACTTCTTACTGAAGAAGAATGTTATCTCCTACATGGGGTGCATGACCCAACTCTACTTTTTTTGCTTTTTTGGCATTTCTGAATGTTACATGCTGACAGCAATGGCCTATGATCGTTATGTGGCTATCTGTAATCCACTCTTGTATAACATTGCCATGTCCCCTAAGGTGTGTTTTTATCTCATGCTTGGTTCATATTTGATGGGACTTTCTGGTGCCATGATCCACACTGGTTGCATGCTTCGACTGACCTTCTGTGATGGAAATATCATCAACCACTATTTTTGTGATCTCCTCCCTTTGCTACAGCTCTCCTGCACCAGCACCTATGTCAATGAGATGGAGCTGTTCATTGTAGTAGGAAAGGACATTATTGTTCCTTCCTCCATCATTCTTACTTCCTATGGCTTCATTCTTTGCACCATATTCCAGGTGAGGTCAACTGAAAATAAATACAAAGCCTTCAGTACCTGCAGTTCTCATTTATTTGCTGTTTCTCTGTTTTTTGGATCAAGCACCTTTATGTATCTTCAGCCCTCCTCAGCTGGGTCTATGGATGAGGGGAAAATTTCTTCCATCTTTTATACTATTGTGGTTCCCATGATGAATCCCTTAATCTACAGCTTGAGGAACAAAGATGTTCAAGTTGCAGTGAGACGAACCCTAAGTAGGAGAACATATTGATAAGAATTTGTTGTAATCTTTGTGTGTAGTTAAACCTCAAATAAATCATCAGTGCCTAGTGCTATTTGAGTACAGCTTTCCTGCCACATTTCTTCTACAATAGGTTCTATAAGTTTGATGTTACATTGTTTACATGCATTTCATTTTAAGGTATGTTTTATTAATTATCATTGTATACACACCTTATACTATAAAAATACTTCTTCAACCTTTGAAAATAATGCTAAGTTGATAGAGTGACTTTGTGGGATACCACTTATATCTGACACCTGAAATTAAATATGAATCCTATATTATGCCCGTGCATTTTTGCTTCCACTCTGTGGTTTAAATACATCACTTTCAAATGTTGGTGATTTATACGTAAAGCTACCAGGGCCTTGACTATTCCAGGTGTAAAGCGTGTATCATTCATTCCCCAAGTTTTAAAAGGTTCAAAGGAAGCAATTGTGTTGACTTAGATAGGAGTTTGACCTCATATATTTAAGTTCTTTCGAAAAGCAGAGATCCATGTCTGCAGCACTTTACAGTTAGTAATTTCATAATCTTTTTGTTGTTTTTCATTATGTGAATGGCAGTATAGAAGATACGAAGAAAATATAATTATAATATAATTGTCCCAACTGAGGTTTTATTAAAATTATAATTTACCTTTGACAAGATTATAGGGAAATTCCCCCAAACTCCCTCATTAGGAATGCTAAAGAGTTGGAGACAGAAAATTAGGAGTTACAGGTCACTCTTTGAACACATCATAAACAGACACCTGTACCTACCTCTTTGTCTATCAGAATATTGAAAGAATAAACTCCAGTAAATGTTTATTTCTCTAGGAATCTCCTGCTGGGAGAAAAGAAGAAAGCACTCAGAATAATTAGTCTGCCAGAAGATAAACTTGTCTCATGTAGAAAGAAGAATAGCTTTCAGATCACTTTGTAAGAAAGACTGTTCCTTCAGGAAAGATTTAGTGTTGAGACAATGATGGATGGGACCATAGCTTTAGCCAGATGAAATATTTATGCATGGTTTTGTCCTTTGTTTAAACACCATCAAGTCAGGTGTGCCTGAAAATGGAGTTGTGGAGGAAATGTCACTGACACTATATCCATATTTGCTTCATTTGGTTATTTCTATATTCTGCTTCTCACTAATAATTTGGCTTTTATTCCTTTATTTTTGAGATAACATTTTAAATTCAACATGTGTCCCATCCATTCCTGTGAGAAGTCTGATTAAGTAAGAAGGAAATAACAGTGAATGTTAGCTATGTGTTTTTAGGACAATGGCTGCTCTTATACCAGAATCTTACAGCTTGAAGGAACTGGGCCACAACTGAAAAAAAAGGAATGAATGGATGAAGGATGGAAGGAAGGAAGGAAATAAAGGAAGGAAAGAAGAAAGATGTCAGCCATGATATTGGGAAAAGAGGATCCTCTTTTCCCTTTACCATTAATCAAATTGCATACTGACTTTTGGTATACTTGGATACATACAGACATCTCAGCCTTTATCATTTATGACTTGTGAGTTTATCATCACCAATCAATGCATTTCACATCTAATTCTTCTACTCCAATCAACTCCCAACCAGTAGCAAAGATAAATCTTACTATTTTTTAATATTATTTCAATGTATTTTCTCATTGTGGAAAATACATGAACTTAAATGACACATGTTGGGTTTTCTCATTACATGTAGCATTATACTTTAAAGTTCATTCCCTCTAAACGTATTGTTTTAAAGCCAGTACTTATTTTGTTAAAGTCAGAGTAAAATTTTTATATATGACTATATGACAATGTGTTTATTCATTCATTAAATGATGCATACTTGATTGAATTTACTCTTAATGCATTGGTAATAATTGTTGTATGAGCAACATTCACTTGTTTTCTTGTGGGTTCAACTAGTTAGTATATATTTATGTATAATTACAATATCATGTGATAACTCAATTTCTATCCATTTACAGAACTACCAGATTGTTACACTTTTAGAAACATTTGGTGCTGGGACAAGGAGCTGGACCATTTTAGATTCCCATATCTTATCAACAATAAACAACCTAAAAGTCCCATAAATTGTGCTGAGATAAAAGTGGTAGTTAAAAATCTCCCAATCAAGCCGGGTGGTGGTGGCGTACACCTTTAATCCCAGCACTTGGGAGGCAGAGGCAGGAAGATCTCTGTGAGTTTGAGGCCGGGCTGGACTGACAGCCTCCAAAACAATACAGAGAAACCCTGTCTCTTAAAACCAAAAAAAATCTCCCAATCAAAAAAGCTTAGAATCATGCAAATTCAGTGCAGAATTCCACCAGACAGTCAAAGAGAATCTAATACTAAGGCTCCTCAAATTCCTGCACAAAAAAGAAATTAAAGGAACATTTCCAAATTCTTTTTATCTAGTCACTTTATTACCCTGATACTAAAATCACATACTCAAGAAAATGTAATGTCACATACCAATATTATTCATGAACATAGATGAAAAATTCTCAATTAAATACATTTGAACCAAATTCAAGAACACAGCAGAAAATTATCCAATATTATCAAGTTGGCTTCATATCAGAGATTCAGGGATGGTTCAATATATTGATATCTATCTATACATATATATTATATATTAATCAATAATAATAATGCATCACACAACCCAAACAGACTAAGAACAAAGCACACCAAAACAATAAACAAACAAGCATGATCATCTCATAAAATGTAGAAAAGACCTTTCATAAGACTCAATGTCCTTCCATTATAAAAGTCATGGAGAGACTAGAGATATATTGCCCATACCTCATCATGATAAAGGAAATTTACATAAGGCCCACAACCACCATCATCCTAAGTGGAAAGAAATTCAAGCAAATCCACTCAGATTAAAAACAAGACAATGATATGCACTCTTTCCATAACTATTCAATATAGTAGTTAAAATCATAGCAATAAGACAATTGAAGGAGACTTGGTGATAAAAATAGGAAAGCAAGAAGCCAAAATATCTTTTTCAAATATAAAATTTTATACATGAAAAACCATAAAGAATCCACAAGAAAACCTCTGCATCTGATAAACAATTTATGAATACAAAATTGATACACAAAGCCAGTAACTTTCATATATGAAAATGACAAATGGAATGTGAAATTAATCCAAATTCATGTTGATCAAAGACCTCAACGTAAAAGGCATACACTGTACCTGACAGAAGAGAAAGTGTTGTATATCTATGACTGTATTGGCAGAGGAAACAACATCCTGAAAAGAGCACACATAGTACAGGCACAAAGATCAACAATTAAAAACAGAACCTCATGAAACTAAAAATCTTCTATAAGGCAAAGGACACCATCAATAGGACAGAATGACAGCTTACTGAAGGAGAAAGTATTTTCACCAACTCTGTATCTGACAGAGGGCCAATATCCAAAATATATAAAGAACTGAAGAAAGTAGACATCAGCAAACAAAGTAATCCAATTTAAAAGTGTGGTACAGTTCTAAACAGAGAACTCTTAACAGAGGAAAGTCAAATGACTCAGAAACACTTAAAGAAATGTTCAATACCCTTAGCCATCAGAGAATTCTACTCAAAACAAATTTGTGATTCCATCTAATGCCTCTCAGAATGGCTAAGAACAAAACCACAAGATAAAAGATTTTGCTTCAGAGGATATTTAGCAAATGGAATATTTTTTCATTGCTGGCGGGAGTGCTAACTGTATAGTTACTTTGGCAATCAATAAGGTTGTTTCTCAGAAAACTGGGGAATGGTCTACCTCAAGACTTATCTATATCATTCTTGAGTATATACCCAAAGGGTGCTCAATAACACAAAAAGGACACTTGCTCAACTATGTTTATAGCAGTTTTATTATTAATATCCAGAATCTGAAAACAATGGAGACATCCTTCAACTAAATAATGGATAAAGAAAATGTGATATGTTTACACAGTGGAGTATTACTCAGATGTTAAGAACAATGATATGAAATTTCAGGCAAATGGATCTAATTTGGAAAAATCAGGGGCAAACACTGGTTCTTTTGCCTACTTATGGGGTCCTTTCTCACCTACTGGGTTCCCTTATCAAGTCTTGGTTTCTTAGTATGTGACTGACCTTATAGCAGCATCTTATCCCCTATTTGATTGATGTCCCTGGGATGCCTGCTCTTTTCTGTGGGGACACAGACAGTTGGTGGTTCTGGGAAAGACAGAGGTGGGAGGGAGATACTGGGGAGGGGGAGAGAGGTGAAACTGCAGTTGGGATGCAATATATGAGAGAAGAAAAAATGAAATCAGGGAAACCACTCATTTTACAGCAGTATCACAAAATATAATGGGATGATTCTAAGCCAGTGACAGACTTTTATAATGAAAATTGATATATTTGAGAAAAAATTAATGTCATTAGTAGATGGAGCAACCTCCAACGCTTATGGATCAGTAAGATTAATATTGTAAAAATTGCCATCCTATCAAAAGCAGTCTGCAGACTCAACATGATCATCATTAAAATACCAACACAATCCCTCAGAGAGGTTGAAAAAATCTTAAATTTCAGTGTTTCTTCAGACATCAATATTGTTGGTGACTATTTTGCACTCATTCCAGTAGAGCTTTTATTATAATAAAATATTTCAATAATGTGTTTGTGAGTACTGCTGTGATAGCTAACTAAAGTGGGAAAACATGTTCTCTAGTCAGTAGTGGAACCCGATAACATAGATTGCAGATCTTAAAACAATACTCTGAAATGGGGCCTTAATTCCTATTGTTTTTGGTGTGATTTAGTGGTGTCAAAACAAGAATTTCTTAAGTAGCAATCCTCCCACTAGAAGCACCTGAAAAATCCTTGGACATAAAAACTTTGTTGCACAATTGCACCACTGATGAGTAAAATCCTTTGAAATATGCTTTATCACACTATGATTCCAGCATCTTCTGAAGGACAACAGATAATGTAGTCTACAACAAGATCTTTGTCTTGATGACCT